AAGCAGTGGTATCAACGCAGAGTACTGGTGTCCGTAGATAGTTTAACGTCCAATAACCCGCAGGATTTTAAGGTTAGGCCTATCATCAGCAGCGTTGGAGGTCCTACGGATAGGATTTCGTGGTTTCTTAACAGCATCCTTTCTCAACTGCTCAGATTTGTTCCCGCACATCTCTCCAACACGAAAATGTTTCTTGATCGCCTGCGCAGCACAAGTGTAAGGCAAGGGTGCGTTTTGGAGTCTTTCGATGTGGAATCGCTCTATACCAACGTTTCCAACGACGCCGCGATGCAAGCGACATTCGAACTTCTTCTAGAACACCAGTCTTCACTTAATCTTTACGGTCTTAGCATCAGAGGCATCTTGTCATTGGTTAAGGAATGCCTCAACTGCTCCATCTTTCGTTGGTGCGGCAACTATTACAGGCAAATAAGAGGACTGGCTATGGGACAAAGACTGGCGCCTACTTTAGCGATTGTTTTCATGTCCAAGGTGGAAGCTCCGGTACTGGCAAGCAAGCCTCTCCTCTACTGTCGGTACGTGGACGACTGCTGTATCGTGTGTCCCACTCAGGCCGAACTTGATTCTTGCTTCAATATCATGAATGCCCAGGACAGGAACATCAAAATGACGAGGGAAAAACCCAAAGATGGATGGCTGCCGTTCCTCAATGTGCAGCTATGCTTGTCAGATAGACGTTTCAAGACCAGATGGTACCGAAAGCCGAGTAGCAAGAATATTCTAGTACACCATACTTCAGCACATCCTGCACGAATAAAAGCATCCATCATAGGGAACATGTTTAGAACGGCTGCAGGGGTCTCTTCTGATAGAGAAGAAAAGATGCACTCGCTGGAACTCGCTAGATCCGTAGCAAGATCCAATGGATATAGCACGGAGACTCATCGTCCTCACAAACCCCGGGTTCATCGTCCGCCTAGATCAGAAGCTGAAGATCAGATCTCATTCTGTCTACCATACATCTCAGAAGAGTTTAGTAGGGCTGTTCGCAAAGTGCTTCATCAAGCAGACCTCAACGACATAGTAAGGATTGTCGATATTCCTCCTGCAAGCCTTAAACAGCAACTGGTACGAAACCGCGAGTATGATCGTCTCTGTACAACTCCTCATTGTGTAGTTTGTCCGTTTGGCAAGGAAGGAGACTGTATGGTATCAGGTGTTGTCTACCTTATCACGTGCACAACATGTGGAGACACGTATATTGGCGAGACAGGCCGCCCCCTATGCACGCGCATCAAAGAACACTTAGATGGTCTCAGCAAGGGCAATGTAGCTACTCCGTTAGGCATGCATCGCAGGCTCAGCCATGACGCGGAGGTGGGAGTGCAGGTTCGAATCCTGGCGCGTGAACCCGAAATCCTAGCGCGCAAGACACTCGAAGCGTTTTGGATAGCCGCCCAAAATCCAAAAATCAACCGGAAGGATGAGTGCCTAGCCATTACTAACGAGCTGTCACCTTATCAGAGCCTTTGTGGCTTTTGAATAATGAGGTCAGGTCAGGACCGGGTCACTAGATTAATATATAAGTAATGCAGTACAGTTTTTGGCATAAGTGGTCTGCACCCACCAAATCTATCATCTTTTAAGGTGAGCACTGGCTTAATCTTGCGTTTTGGTTGATACTGTTGCTTATCTAGAGGGTTGGGCTCTTTTCTGTAGTCGATAAGGTGTTTGATCGGATAGTTCACTTATGTGTTTTCGACTTTTCAGACTCTGAAGAAGGCGAGTTTGCCGAAACGTCAGTCTGTATACTGTGGAATAAATATCTGTACCAATCTTGGACACTGCTAAAGAAACTAATCAGAAGATTCAAACTATGCCAAGATTCATGGATAGTCGAACATGGATTCTGATGAACGATGTACCAGCAACTCTGTTTCGACTCGTAAAAGAAATTCTCTCTTTGAGACAAAAGATTGTCTCGGAGAGGCAGCCATCCACTTTCTACGCCGCTGCTTACAAGAACATGTGATGCCGAATTTCATCTCAAAGAAGCGCATCCACGAAGAATGCGGGCTACCCAAAGGAAGTCAGCATGTGAAGAAAATCGAGCAACAACTTCTACGTATGGCACTTCGTTCGAAGCAAGATCATATGTACAAATTATTGTCTAAGTGTTTATATAAGGAGCAATGTTGTGTACGATATATGTCTGATCGCCTTTGGAAGAAGATCGTGGGTGAGTCGAAACACATCTGTGATCATGTCCGATCTAATGCTAAGTCTAGATTGCAGAAAAAGTTCAAAACTTTAGTTGAGCAAGAGAAAGACCATACACAGGAGCCAGCTAGTGCAAACAGTTGTGGTTACGAAAGTCAAAACTGTGCTGCTTCCACTCTCACTAATACTCCTAGTCGATTCCGGGTCTCTGTAATTGGCAATGCACTCATTTCCGATAATGCGTTATCATTACTGGACCTTGGTCCTAGTTTCGCACCTAGTCAATCAATAGGATCTCGGGTATCGCGTAGGATTGTCGGCAGCCTGCAATATGTTCACGAAAAGATACGTCAGCGAGCCAACGAGCGTGAGAGCGTAAGAGACGGCGAAACAGCTGGGGAAAAACATGGCCAGTTATACCTTTTCCGCGTTTATTTTATAAACCGCAGGAGCCTAATCAACCAGTGGATGCAAAGTTTCGAGTATTTGCTACCGGGCTCTTCTCAGTTCTCAACCAGTTCCGCGCAAAACGACAAAATAGTAATTTATCACTTTTGCAACGCCGCGGCCTGCGCGAAATTCGCGACCTTTGTGCTGCCGGAGAGATCAAGGTGTCGGTCAGCGACAAAGGAGGAGAGTTTGTAGTTCTCTCTCGTGATCTGGACATGGCTATCGCGAAACATCATCTACAGGATACTACCGTATACGAGCCGGTGGCAGCAAATGATTTCAGAAAGCAGTACCGCCGCTTAAACAGGGTATGGCTAGAGGTGGCTAAAGCTGAAGGCATTCCTAGGGCTATGGCTACACGTCTAAAGACCGATCTGCCTATATGTCCTGTTCTCTACACTCTTATCAAGACACATAAGGTGTCCGTAGATAGTTTAACGTCCAATAACCCGCAGGATTTTAAGGTTAGGCCTATCATCAGCAGCGTTGGAGGTCCTACGGATAGGATTTCGTGGTTTCTTAACAGCATCCTTTCTCAACTGCTCAGATTTGTTCCCGCACATCTCTCCAACACGAAAATGTTTCTTGATCGCCTGCGCAGCACAAGTGTAAGGCAAGGGTGCGTTTTGGAGTCTTTCGATGTGGAATCGCTCTACACCAACGTTTCCAACGACGCCGCGATGCAAGCGACATTCGAACTTCTTCTAGAACACCAGTCTTCACTTAATCTTTACGGTCTTAGCATCAGAGGCATCTTGTCGTTGGTTAAGGAATGCCTCAACTGCTCCATCTTTCGTTGGTGCGGCAACTATTACAGGCAAATAAGAGGACTGGCTATGGGACAAAGACTGGCGCCTACTTTAGCGATTGTTTTCATGTCCAAGGTGGAAGCTCCGGTACTGGCAAGCAAGCCTCTCCTCTACTGTCGGTACGTGGACGACTGCTGTATCGTGTGTCCCACTCAGGCCGAACTTGATTCTTGCTTCAATATCATGAATGCCCAGGACAGGAACATCAAAATGACGAGGGAAAAACCCAAAGATGGATGGCTGCCGTTCCTCAATGTGCAGCTATGCTTGTCAGATAGACGTTTCAAGACCAGATGGTACCGAAAGCCGAGTAGCAAGAATATTCTAGTACACCATACTTCAGCACATCCTGCACGAATAAAAGCATCCATCATAGGGA